TGTTTAAAACCCTTGTGGAATGATTGCTTTTCAGAGGTGTCTTCCAGATATGGCTTGTGTTTAGGTTTTGAGGCTCTAATGACTCTGAGGCTGTTTTATTTTCCTTACACCAGGAAGAAAAACTGATTAGATCAGTCACAACATGTTAGACCAAATGATACAATCAGCAATACCATAGCATCAAGCACAGATTAGAAAATGACAATTTGTGGTAGTTATTAATCAATCACATTTAACTATGTGAAGTATAATCCCCTGTACCTCTGTAGTGTGGGACCAGGTACCAGAAGAGCCTGAAGGCGGGGCAGGGCGGGGGGAGTGGAACTAGGCCTTGCAGGCGCCTGCCTGGCTAAGCCGAGCACCAGATGGGGGCGGGGCTCCAAGCTGCTCCTGGGACCTCACCGTGGTGTGGGCAGGAACCAGGATGCAGCAGAGGAGCTTCACACTGCTTGGCTGACCCGCGGAGAGGAGCCAGATGGGGGTGGGGCCTGATTAACCTATAGTAACTTTTTTACAAAAAGATTTCAAATGAGAAATATACTGATTATATGAATAATGATCATGGGTAGGTATGCGAATAGAAGGAAAATAGCAGAATTAGGAGAGTTATGGCAGTGATATTCTTTATTTTTTAAAGTTTCTTTAATATTTTATATTGCTGTGTTGCTAATGTTCATTTTGCACCTTGTCTCTTCCCAAAGTATATTTGATATTATACTGTTTTCTAGATAAGAAAATTATTTATGAAAGTGAAGAACCAAAATTAGGGGGGAACAATCAGTAAGTCCATTAGAATGTGTCTGTCACCTTTAACCTGAGAATGGAAGAGTTTGTGATGAGAGACTGTCAAGACTTCTTTGTTGTCAGATGAAAGATCTTGACACTGATTTTCTGATTGAGGCTATCTGTGGACTCAGTGCATTGTAAAGATATATACTTTGCATATTATTTTATTTTCCAAACAGTCCTTAACTAGTGCTGTGGTTGCTTGAAACCAATAGAAAGATTTTTTTTTTTCCACTTACAGTTCAACCTGCACCTGACTGGGGACATCCATGCCATTACTGCTGCCAATAACTTGCTGGCCGCGGCCATTGACACAAGGATTTTGCATGAAAATACTCAAACAGATAAGGTAAGAAGGATTCCTTGTCAGCCATTTTGGGGGAACTTATTCTGGGATTCTTGGATCCTTCCAGCATTCACGGAAAGACTTGTAGAGTCTGTAAACTCTGAAATTTTACTCAAAATTTTGTGAATTTTATAATGCCCTCATTTCCTAAGGTAAAGATCCACACTTTGGTCAGATTCTCAGCTGGGATTATGACCACTGCCAGGTTATTTGAAGAATTATATTATGTTGTACTTTTTAAGCCAAACTGTAGCTGAGTCTTTAGTTTTAAAGGTCAGTGGTAGATCAGTTCTCTTCATCCTAGCCTTAGATCCGGTCCAATCTCTGCTCTATACTAAAAGGGAGATTACAGAAATAGCATCCTTGTATGACTAATGTTACATGCAGCTATTTAAGATGAACTGTGACAGAGGCAGAGATACTTCCTGGGTTTCACATGCATGTAGTCTTAAGAGCTCAGTCACACACCTGGAAGGACAGAGTACCATCTACTAATGCCTCCCAGATGAAGGACATGGACAAGAAGGGTACTTTCTCGAATGTTTTGCAAGGGTCCTGACTTTCTTCACTTAAAATAATTCCTTAGTGGGTCTTTGGAATAGAATCTGGATAAATATTAATTAGACAGTTGTAAGACTGTAGTTCAAGAAGCATATTTATTCAAAATCTTTGCAATGTGGATTATTTCATATTTAGGCAGTTTTATTAATGACAAAATTTAAGTCTTCATTGTTTATATTAGCCTCAAAATTTTAATAGGGCCTGTAATCTAAATAGCTTGGTTATAAATGTAATGAATTTTGTCCTGTCCTGTGATTTGTCCTAATGCATATTTGACCTTTAAACATCTGTGTTTTATTTTTGTTTTCTCAGGCTCTGTATAATCGACTGGTTCCTCTGGTGAATGGTGTCAGAGAATTTTCAGAAATTCAACTTGCCCGGCTGAAAGTGAGTTTCCAATTTTCTATTCTTTAAAATAAACAGAAAGGGATGGAGATGTAGCTCAGTGGTGCCACGCCTGCCTCAAAAGCACAAGGTCCTGAGTTTGATCGCCCATACCAAAAAAAAAAAAATTTTTAAATTTTTTTTAGAAAAAGCAGAACATATCCTACAGATACATCAGAAATACTGCCAAAGGCAGAAATTTTGAACTTGACTCAATTTTGGGTTTTTTTTACACTCTTCTGGGTATTAAAATCTAAAGAGACAACAGTATAGCCAGCGGAGCAGTGTTGGAAGCCTGAAACCTGAATCCCACACCAAAGAGCCAGGGGAACAAATAACTAACCTTCTAGGATTCTTTTTCTTCACGTATGAAATAAGAGGACTGCTTTGCTAATCTGTGAGTACCTCACCAAACCAACAAATTGAATTTTTATGCATCCTCTTTTTAAGGAGAAATATTGTTATATTTGTTAAATGTCTAATGATAAGATAGCCTATCTCAGTTTCGTGTTGCAGCAAGATACCCTCTTTATGGCACAGAAAGCCATTGTAATTCTCACCCACGTGACCTGGTTTTAGTACTGTTTGCTGCTTCTGCTCTGCTTCTCACATTGGTTCCCCAAGCACTTTGTCAGAGTCTGAAGAATAACCATTGTATGATTTAAAAGCACTGGTTGGTACTAAATGGTTCATTAAAATTCACTCCCTTGGGGCCCGGGATTTAGCTCAGTGGTTCCACTGCCTGCCTCGCAAGCAGAAGGACCCAAGTTTGATCCCTGGTACCAAAAAAAAAAAAAAAAGAAAAAAAACAAATAAATTCACCCCCTTGCTTGTTACTGAGCCAAGTTCCATTTGTTGAGGGTAATGAGTAATTCCATCATCTACAGTTACAACACATACAGCTTCTGTTTCCTGGATTGTCTTTTTTTTAATACTTCATTAAAAACCACTTTCTTAGGATATTTTCTTTACAGAAGCAAATGCATTAAATTTTCAAATTTTTTGCTCAGTGTCTTAAAAATAACTTGTTTTGAAACTTAGGCTTAACCTTTACTTGAATTGTTGCTATTTATATTGACAAGAAGAACTAATGAACTAAAGCATGAATTATGTGGACAGCAATGCGTGTCCCTTCCAAGCAGCCTGTGGCAGCCCTACGGAGACCTCCAGCCAAGACAGCAGTAGCAGCCACAATGACCCCATCTCCAGATCTGCCGTGTTGAGGGTCTGTTACAGATTTTCAGAGTCTTCCATATGATTTGACCTAACCTGCAATTTACTCAAAGTAGAGTTTTTTTAAAAAGGTTTAACAAGTCATGGAGAAAAAAAAGAAGCATAATTGTTCTTATCCTTTCGCTTTCTATTTCTTCTCACGCCTATCACTTTTTTTTTAATCATTAGAAACTGGGGATAAATAAGACTGATCCAAGCATGCTGACTGAAGAGGAAATGAGCAAATTCGCCCGTCTCAACATCGACCCCACAACCATCACGTGGCAGAGAGGTGGGTGCTGGGAAGACTGTGGATGGCCGCATAGGAGAATATGTTCACACTGGAGCTCCTAGATTAATTTTATGTCTTCCCGTGGACTTCCCAGCCTGGATTTCATAATCCCATTTCTTTCCGTGGGTCTTATTTTCCCTTCTTCCTCCCTCCTTGTTGCCTGTTATTTAAACCAACTGCTGTCTGGGCTCATTCCCACTCATTCTCACTCTTCCAAATTTCCAAGGAAAATTAATTTTCTCCTCTGTCTCCTCTTCCTTGGCCTCTTCTTTCTGCATTTAAAAAAAATGATAAAGCTACATTTCCCTTCCTGGTCCTGTTGGCTCTTCTTCCCACCACCCCTCTTTCTTCCTTTATGTCTCTCGTACTAGCTCACAGAGTGCTCTCATTGATGGCTTCCGTGCTTCACTCTCCTCCCGGTCCGGTAGGTGCTTCCTGCTGTCTTCCAGGTGTCCTCACTCCCTGGTGGCGCCCTGCTGGCCTCCTGCCTCCCTCCCACGCTGTCCTCTGAATCTCGTCAGTTACTGTGGGGTGGGACGGGGCCTGAAGTGTGAGTCCGCCTTGCCCCTTCCTGGCTGCACCACCTTGACCAAGTCACGGGGGCATGACCTGTTCCCAGCCCCTGAGTGCTGGAAATGGATGGGCTGTACTTCTCGAGACTGCAGCAACCACACTTGAGCAGTAAGGGCTGCCATAGCACTAAATGGTAGGTATTCTTGATTTTTCCAGGTTGTCCTCAGACCTGCCTCCCACCGATATTCCCCATTTCTACCCACTTTCAGAACACATTTGTCAGATGCCTGATTTATAGCTGTTATCTTCAGCACATTCTCTTCTTTTCATTTGTGTCTCCTAAATTCAGTGGATTCATCTTGACAGAGATGCTAGCCTGTCGCTTCCTTGATCAGAAGCCTCCAGTGGCTCCGCCCATCCCATGTAGTAATGCCGCTCCATCTGCTCTCCAGTCAGGAGGGGCTGCCCTTGTCCTTCTGCCGCCCATGCTTGGCCATCACTCCCTGCCCCCTGCCTAACTGGGACTTGCCTTCCCTGGGCTGGCCCAGGTCTCACCCCATTATGAAGTTTCCCTCTGGGAGTCCATTCAGCTGGGCCATTAAGAATTGAGGGACAAAGTTCAGAGGCCTTAAAGATCTTTAACACAAACACAGGTTCAGTATCCCTTATCGCACGAGCCTGGGACCAAAAGTGGTGCTGAGTTCATATTTTTTTTTGTTTGTTAGAATATTTACATATACATGATGAGATATCTTAGGGATATCTAAGCCTAAACACAAAATCGATGCCTCGTAGACACCTTGTATATGTAGCCTGAAGGTAATTTTATACAATATTTTTCATAATTGTGTCCATGAAACAACATTTTGTAGTTTGGAATTTCCTACTTGTGATATCATGTGGAGCCTCAGAAAGTTTCAGATTTGGGAACATTTCAGATTTTGAGATTAGAGATGCTCCACCCCTAGCAGTACCAGCCTCCCCATCAGCAGGTGCCACCGAAATGTGAGCAGACTTTACACACTGCAAAGCACCGCCCAGATGGATTATCAATAGACAGCCTGTGGTGAGAATTGTGTATGGAGGGTTTTTTTTGTGTGTCTCTGTTTCCCAGAGAAGTTAAAATCTCCTCAAAACTATTATAGACATATTTTTCATTTAAAAATAAGTGATACTATTATGCATATGTTAGAAATCTGTCAAAAGAAGAAGAAACCTCATCTCTTTCCTACTAGCACTCTTACTCATAGTTTTTTTGTCATATCTAGTTTTTTATAGTTTTATTATAATTTAGGTGTATCGATGTTATATCCTACTAGCTTCATTTCTTCTTTTTACTTAGCTGGTATGCAGTCATTTTCAGTGGTTCCAGAATATTCCTTCGTGGATGAACCACAGCTTACTTAGGTTCTGTTCTTGAAGAGACCCACAGCATTTTTAACAACCAACATGAATATTTTCAGCATTTTATTGAGGACTCTGCTAATTTTTTTTATTTTTTTTATTTTAACTGGGGAGGTTAATTATTAAAATGGCACATTTCCAAAATGTGCAGTCAGTCTTTTCAAGGCATTTCTGAGTTTGTGTTATTCTGTAAACCTTTTTTAGAAGTTTATTTATGAAAGAAAAACCATGAAGGTAGAAATTGGTAAATTTTAAATGGTGCATGTGGTCATACCGAGAGAAATGTCTACACCGGATGGCATTCTTTCCTGTCTGCTTTGAGACCTCAGTCTGGGCAGCCTTCAGAAATAGGACAGTGGCTCAGCGGGGATCTTGGAAGAGAAAGGCTGGGTCACCTCTTACACTGAGGGCCAGCATGCCCTTGGGTTCTCTCTGGGGAAGTGGAAGAACTGAAGTGTGCTGTGGTTACAAATCAATTTTAATGGAAGTGACAACTTTAAAAAATCATTCCAGAAAAATACTAGCATTATATTACTGTTTGGGGCACTAATGTGAAGAAAACTTTATTGCGGTGGACAAGCCATCTGTGTCAGAGGAATTTGGAGTGACATTTGAGAGGGAGTTTGGCTCTGATTACCTTATGTTAATGTGAGAAATAGGATTCTCCAGCAGATGAGTTAAGGGCGTTTGCTAGCAGTTTTCTGGCTTAGACCTAGAGTTAGTGTAACCCTTGTGATGAGATTAGATTCTGGTATGACTTGATATCTAGAGGGGGACTCTCGGGGCCAGTGGGGGAGGATAGATTAAAACCTTCAGATGAAGTGGATCAGACCATGCGATGGTCACCCCTTTCTTTCAGCCTGTGTACAGCATCTGATGATTGCTTCATCCTGCGCCTTAGAAGCTTAAAGGACTCTTTGCCTGTAACAGGGTGAAACCAGAACCAGCAGAATATTCTAGAAAACTTAACATAAGCAAAGAAAGAAAATATATCTGGGAAACGCATTTGTTGATCCCAGAGCACCATGAGCAGAGCACATCGGGCAGATTGGTACCACATTTCTGGTTCCCAGCACTACCCTGGCAGTGTGGTGGAGACTCTGTGCCATGTCTTCTGCTAAAGCCATGTAGAGGGCTTGTCCTGATAAAGCACCCTGGGCTGTACCTTCTCCCTGGGCTCTTGGCCACATGAGTTATTTAGTAAGTGTTCGGCACACTCTGGATGCTTTTCGGAACACAGAACTGCAGTGCCAAACCCAGGCGTGTCCAACCTGTGGGTGAGGTTTGGAGACATCTGTCTTGACTGGACCCTGTTGAGCAATGAGGAATTGTCTTAGGATGCATACAAAATACATAATATAGTTAAAATATATGGTCTGTAAAGTACATTTTAAAACTTCCTTTTTACATATTTTTTATTGTAACACAGGCATGTCCAACCTATGGCCTGCCTGCGAGGAATAAATAAATGAAGTGCCCCCCCAGTGCCTCCTGTACAGGGCTACTAGTGCTCACATCTCTGCCCCTTGACAGGAAGGGTCTGAGATCAGAGACTGACGCCGCCCCTGTATGGCCAGCACGGGACAGCGCAGCATAGGCCCTCTGTGTCACCTCCAGGAAGAAGTCCCCAGGCTGCTTACTCCACTTTCACCTGTCATAAAGGACAGCAATTGCATGTCACTAATTTGGGGCTGCTGGCTGGCATCTGTCTTTATTGTGGGTTGGAATTAACTTTCATGTTTCTTCTTTTGTGTATTACTGGAACTTTACACACCTCTTTCCTTGGGTGTCAGAATCCTGGCGGGTTGAGAGATGGCCCAATCTACCCATGTGGGAGGCTCTGGGGCCACTGATTATAACTGACCTTGCTGAGCTTTTTGTGTTTTGTTCTTGCTGGTTTTCTCTTTGCTGCACACACACACACACACACACCAACTAAATTTCTGTTATTAACTTCAAGGAAATGTGATCAAAAGGTCGCTTCAGTCTGGTGCCAAGATTGTAGATTCTACACATCAGGATATTTTTCCTTTGCATCATGGAAATAAAAGTAGTCGCTAGTAACAGTGTTGCGAACCAGGTCTTTTAATTTTTAGATTACAAGAAAGGTTTTTATGTACTTGAGTGTGCTCTGGGTTTGTGTATATGTGTGGCTTGTGGGTACTTTGTGTCAGAGAAAGATTAATGTCATTTGTCCCACACATGTGTACCATTCCCAAATGCATGGCCTCTGTCACTGTTTTTGTCAGAGCCATATTACCCATTTGGTAAATTATATATCAGTTGTCACTGTGAGCAGCGTGTTATTTGAAGCCAAATTATTAGTGAAATCTCTGTCCTTCTGGCTTTGTTTCCTGGCAGTGTAAGTTTGAGTTTTAAACCAAATCTTCACAGACAAAATCTGAATCCGTGCAATTCAAAGAAACCAATGAATCAAAGAAAATCAGGACCAGCTCTAGTCACAGTCAACTGTTTTCCCCCAATAATATTTTATTTACTTTTTTATTGTGCCAAAATGTACTACTTATCATTTTAACCATTTACCAGTGTACATTAAATGTACTCACCATAATTATACCGTCACTGCTATACAAAACCCTCATCACCCCCCCAAAATAAATCCCCTTCCTAGTAAGTGATAATTCCCTCTCTGCCCCTAGTAACTTCTGTTCTGTTATCTGTCTGAGTGAATTTGCCTATTCTGGGTGCCTCATATAAGTGGAATCATACAACATCTGTCCCTCTATGTCTGGAATATTTCACTATGCTTAATGCTTCTGATTTTCATTCATGTTGTGGGATGTATTAGAATGCCCTTTTCATAACTGTGTAGTACTCTGTTGCAGGTATATACCACATGTTCATTCACTTGTCATTGGACACTTTGGTTCCTTCTCCTTTCTGGCTATTGTGAATAGTGCTGCTGTGAACATGGGTGTGCAAGTATAAGTTCAAATCCTCACTTTCAGTTCTTTTGGATAATACACAGGAGTAGGATTACTGGGTCATGTAGTTGTTATATTTAACTTTATGTGAAACTGGCTTGACTCTTTGTGACTCAGGTCTCCTGTAAAATGTCATCATTTTAGAAGTCCTTCTCCTTGCTGCCATTTTAAACAGGCCCAACCCCATCCCCACCATCACCTGGCACTTGTTTTTTTTTGGTACTGGGGATCGAACTCAGGCCCTTGTGCTTACACAGCAGGTGGTGAAACCACTGAGCTAAATCCCTGGCCCCTGACACATTCTTTTTGCAGCCTCTTTGATCTTCTTAAGGATCTAGCAGATATTTCATGTTCATTTGATTCCCGGAGGGAAGCCCGACCTTGTTTGTTTTGCCCTTTCCTCTGCACCCCAGGAATCGAATCCCTGTTTGTTGATTGAAGAAATAATCTATTCTCTTTCAGTGTTGGATACCAATGACCGATTTCTACGAAAAATAACAATTGGGCAGGCAAGCACAGAGAAAGGGTACTCCCGGCAGGTAGGTGGCTCTTTCTTCCTTGCCTTGGTTTCTGCCATCTCTGTGCTTCTCCCTCAGTACCTTCCCGTGTCTTCCCACCCCACTTGCCCAGGCCTTCAGATCTCCCATTGTTGGGGTGGGTTCCCAGGGTAAGGGCCGGGGACGGGGGGTGGGGTGGGGGAGTGAGTGTGTCAGGCCACCTAGAACTCCAGTGTCTGCTTCCTGTGCTTTCCAGAGAGCCGCTGGAGGGGTCGGGGTTGGGGTCCTTGAATTCAAATTCTTTAACTATTTTATGAGAAACCCACCCACTTTCTGCTGCATCTGCCTCACAACTGAGAAATGAGCATCTCAGGCACATTATTTGAATTTCATAAACCGAAGAACAAAAGTTATCAGGCTTAATGACAGAGGAGTTTTTTGAGGGTAATGAGTTATTATCCCCATACAGAGAACGTGGGAGAAAAGCAGTGAGGTCTCCTTTCCCTTTAACGGATCTCTGCTGTGGGTCCGAGGCACTTTGGGAATATAAATTCATTCCACAATATTTTAGGCAGGCACAGCAGGCCTCTGATTTTTTTTTTTGTAATAAACTGTATATTTTTGGAAAGTTTTAGATTTACAGCCTTTACATTAAGTTTTTATTAGTGATTTAAAAAGAAAAGAGAGTCACTTTCACTACAGTATCCAGTTCTGCATACCAAACAGAGTTTGGGATCTTTTGAAACATTTTGAATTAAAAAGTGAATATGGGGATTGGACCTAGAAGACAAACTAGGTCTCCACACCTCCCTCTTCCAGCCCCTGTAACTTGCTCATGCTCGTTTCAGACCATCAGTGTCCCTGCTAGAAAACCAGAACCATTGCTGTGAAGTCTGAGGAAGTTTCCTAAGGGTAGGGAGATGGAGAGAATTGGGTCGATGGGGAGGACCGAGGACCCTGTGCATTATGATAGGAGTGTTTGAGGAGTCTCTCAATTCAGAGGCAGGAGGTACCCTGGTTCTCAGGCCAGGAGATGCAGGTCAGCGTCAGCAGCCGGGGCCTTCTTGTGACACTTGTGCTGACCACAGCCTGGGGACCTATGTCTCAGGCTGGAGGCTGAGTGTGATCCTCAGGCCATGACAGTGCCCCAGCCCATCCCCGAGGGAGCTAGCACAGCCCTGCTGTACCTGTGTCCCGTGCCCCCTGGCCTGCAGGTGTCAGTGAAAGTGTCTTGTTCAAAGAAAGCTGGCATGCTGTGACCCTCCTGGGAAGGACAGCCTCTTATCATTCCCACAGAGGGCACCTTGGGACTAGCATGGTTGTGTGAGCGGCTCCAGTGTGGGAGGCCGAGCAGCAGAGCGCCCAGCCCCGGGTCTCACAGCATGTAGGCTGGACCTGTCCAAAGTCAGGTACGCAGACAGGCGAGGTGTAGCTCACACCTGGAAGCACCACAGAGCAGCGCACATGGTGAAGACTCACCCACATTTCCCAACGAGAAGCTTACGTGCCCAGGGAAACAAAAGAGTAGGTCAGACTCACTGAGTGTTTGAGAGCACTGTGCTTGATATTCTCAGAGGTTACAAGAGCTGTCTGGTAGAAAGAGTAAGAACTGACTGCTTCAAACCGTGGGTTAAGGTCTTGTACATAAAACTGTGGTTGTAACAGTAAAAATTCAGTTAATAGGTTGAGTTGCCTCATACCCCAGGAAAGGGCATCTAAACTGAGAAATTATCTGAAAGCATAATTTACAAGGGAAAGAGATTCGAAAGAAAGGTTTGGGAAGCAGAGAGCACACATCAAGAAGTTGTAGTCAGAGTCTAATAAGCATTACAGGAGAATTTGCCTTATACTAAAAGGCATAATGAATTCCAAGAAGTAATTGAAAGGAAATTTCTGAAACTGAGTTTTCATGCTAAAGGACAAGATGGAAGAGGATTAGTGAAAAAAGATTTGCAGGGATCGGGTCAAACACAGAGGAATTTAAAAAATAATAACCCTAATAGCTGCCAAAGAGAAAAAAGAGGTCCTGATTAGTCCCCAAGGAATAAGAATTCTCAGCAGCACCAAATGCCAGGCAGCCATGGGGAAGTTGATTCAGGGATCTGAAGAATGATTTTTAAACCTCGTATCCGTCAGCAGAAAGAGAATGCTAACATAAAACATGTTAGAGCTGAAAATATAAAATTAAGAAGTAGAAAATAAGCTGGCTGGAATAAGTCAAACATTAGCAGATGCCATAGATAGGAACCGTCACTGACATAACATGCAGAAACTATCAAGGAAATAGAAAATTTTGACATAATGAAAAATTCAAGTCTTCGGTAGGAAAAAGCGACCCAAGGTTGAGTGGGTTCAATCCCCAGCACAAAAAAGAAAAACAAACCAACAAACAAAAACCTGACACCGAAACATTAAAAGACCCTAAGAGGGTCTTTTAGGTAATAGCCTAAGAGTGAATGTTCACAACATACATAAGGATTAGTGTGCCAAACATAGGAAAACTTCCAGAAATTCATACTCACATAACTTTTTACAGTAAGCCCTTGGCCACCTTATGTATAACTGCATGATGCCTATAATCCCAGACCTCTAGGAGGCTGAGGCAGGAGGATCACAAGTTCCAGCCCAGCCAGGGTAATTCAGTGACTTAGTGATACCCTGTCTCAAAATAAAAGCTTTTTTTAAAAGTTAGAGGATGTAGCTAAATGCAGAGGCCCTGGGTTCGGTGTCAAGTACCAGGAATAGATAGATAGATAGATAGATAGATAGATAGATAGATAGATAGATAGCCTGCACTGACCTGTCCCACATAGTGGTAGTAGGTATTCAATAAATGTTTGGTGAATAAAAACACAATTTGCAGATACAAAAATAAAATGTCATCATGCAAAGAAATTCATAAAACTGCAAATCAAAACCACAATGAAGTATTGTTGTATTTACGAGCTGATCAAAACATAGTTAGTGCTAAATGTTAGCAAGGTGTAAGGAAATGGAGACTTTTAAACTGTTAGTGGAAAATTCCCAACAGCTCTTTGAATGACAGTTTGTTAGTATTAAAATTTGAAATAACCCAACAATTACTGGTTGAAGACCAAAATTATTTTGGAGGAAATAGAGACGAAATATTTGCTTAATATTTAATATTTTAAAAAGAAAAAAATTTTAATTAGGGTATAAATTGCAGTTTTATTTGTAACAATATTTGAAGCAATCTAAATGTTCATCATTAGGAATTTTGATGCACACAGCACATAGGAGTTGATCACAGAGATGTGTGTGTAAGTGAAGTGTCCTAAATAAAGCTCTCATGGTGGCTGTGAAGTGGAAAAGGTTTTAAAAAACTAGTTGGCTCTGAAAAGTGGATGGGGAAAGAGTCAGAAAGGTCTTTCCCCTTGTCTCTGCAGGTTTTTGTACAGTTTAGCTAGTCCCTGGAAATGTAGAAGATGAACAGTGGCTGTCATTTGAATGTCTAATATATATATGATTTTTATTCTTTATTTTTGTTGAGACAAGGTCTCACTGTGTAACTTGGGCTGGCCTTGAACTCACTGGGACAAACTCAGTGCTGGGATTACAGGCTTGTGCCTTCATACCTGGCCATGTACGTTATATTGATAGGCCTGTTGCATACATTAGCACAGCCAGTTCGTAAGTCAGATTTACAATGCGAAAAGTGGAGGTATGTTAACTTTTTCCCAAGGTTATATTTTGTATTGCTTTATGCATATTTTCAAGTTTAAAAAGGATTATATTTTATTTAAGAACTTGAATTGCTTTCTTTTAACTATAAGACTCCATGGAGAACATCATATATTGTATAGAGCTACATCATCATTTTTGTCTTATAGACGTACTGTAATCGATTCAGCATGGACATGTAGGATGTTTATAGGGGTAGCTGTTCTAAATAAGCTATAGTAAACATAAGTGCATATTTGTGTGAATATTTGTTTTATAACATCTTTGGGACAAATCACAGAGGTATAATGCAGAGTTCGTGGATGTAAATTTCACAAGTTGATATACATTTCTTCCAGAAAGTTAAATCATCTGACATGCTGGACAGCGTTGCATATTGTCCCTTGTGTAAATTTGTGATAATCTGATAAACAGTTAAAATCTCATTTTCCCCTTATATGATTTTGAAATATTTTATTTGCAAAACAAATGAGCAGTCTTCTATTATCCACATTATTCAATTAGTAAAATGAGTTTTAATGATATTTAAATTGGCTCAATTTGGAATTGTTTTGGTAATTAAGTTAAAAATTTGAAGTTGTTAAACACTGACAAATGAAGAATGATAAAGTGTATTATAACCTCTATTTCTGATTTACCCTGTTAATTTTTGTGAGAATATTCTTAGTCTTGTGTTTTATACAGAATTCTCAATATTTTTAGTCATTTTCTTATATGCACTCTTTTTAGTAGAATGGTAGTGGAATCCTAGATTTTTATACAGTGAAAAATCACATATGTTTAGAATGAGTTAGATTGAGAATGCAATAATTGAATATAGTTGTAGTCAACTTTCAGGAAATACATTTTCACTAAATCACTGACTAGTGCAGTCCTAATCAAGAAGGAGTTGGAAAGCTCCTTGTTGCCTTCGTTTCCTCACGTGGCAGTGATGGAAGTGGTTAATAAAACATCTCGTGCAGTGACCCCATGAGGGCATAGCCATTTTTCTCTATGGAACTTGAACCTGTCTGGCTGACATTCCCCTTGAGAAGAGAATTAAGCTGGACCTTCATGGAGTGGTTTTGTCCAGAGAAACTTTCCCAGTGGCCACATCGTGAGGAGGGGGAAGGCACACTCCTTGTGTCCCTTTGAGTTCCCTTTGGACTTCATACAGCCTGGAGTCAGAGCCAAGGGGGGAATAGGAAGTCTTGGGAACTTTTCACAGAGTAGCTGCTCTCTGGTGTCTGTGGCTGGAAGCCTGGTGACCTGACATGGCCGTACCCTCATGGGCAGCTGGAATTTGATTCTGTGACTGCTGTGCTGAGCTGTGACTTTGGGAAATTGGCCTCACATGCAGGAAGCCAGCAGGACCATCTTATGTTATCATCTGCTCCATATCTTCTTGCTGGACAGACCAGTACTGCCTGCCTGGCAGGCCAGTTGGTTACAGCAGGAATGGTCAGTAGGCTGGTCAGTATTCCTGGAGTTCAGAAACGAACCCCACCGTGGTCTCTGCCTTCATGGCACTTCACCAGCCCTTTAATAGAGACATGCATTAGATGGGGAATGACGTTACTACTTAGTCACAAGTCTGAGACGGGCTACAGAGGCACACTGTGCTGCCCCGTGTGCAGGACCCTCATCCAGCTGACTCCTGCTGAGCAGAGCACAGTACAGAGCGTGGTCACTGTGGGAGGCCACCCAGACGGCACTCAGCACAAGGCCCTGGATGTTCTGCACACTCCGACACGCACGCACAAACACCTGCTGTCACTTCCTTGCTGAGATCCTGCTCCCTCTTGGTGGGGAGTGCCAGCCATGTGGCACTGTAGGTGACTGCTGCCTTTGCTTTGGCCTGTCCAGGCGCAGTTTGACATTGCGGTGGCCAGTGAGATCATGGCAGTGCTGGCCCTGACAGATAGCCTCAAGGACATGAAGGAGCGGCTGGGAAGGATGGTGGTGGCCAGTGACAAAAACGGGCAGCCTGTGACAGCAGAGGACTTGGTGAGTATTATTCAGAGGCCCTGACAGCTTGCCATCTATGGAGACAGTGGAGGTTCTCTTCATCTCATCAACATGTGTGGTGGGGATTCAGAGAATTTCTGCACACATGTTCTTTTCCCCACAAGCTTCTTTGTCTTGCAGCTTTGTGCTGTTAAATGCAGTGAGAGCATTTATCATGTGATTCCACCTGGGTGCAACCAAAACACATGACATTCATTTCATGAGCTTTTCCCTGCATCTTGATCACTGCTTCTGCCTGGGACGAGTTTGGGTCCCCCTGCCATGTTTAGTGGCTTTTTAAAAATGTGAGATTTATACCTGCCTTAACTGGAAGGCAAGTCACCATTCCAAGGGATAGAAGGAAGAAAGTCTGCCCTCAGTAATGGGAAGCTGAAGCTAAAATGGGCACATTTTCAGCACCAACTGCTCCCATATTTGTTTGTTACTGTCATACTTTAGGGTTTCGTGTAATAAAAGCAAGTCTGGGCCTCAGTCAGTCTTAATCTTCTGACTCCTCTGTAGAGCACAGTGGTACTTTCTATAAAGCTTTAATAGTGACAGGTGCATCGATGGCTGTTTCAGTGTGTAATTTGGCACTCTAACGTCCCTTTTCTTTTTACCAACAACCGTTAAGGTGGACATGAGCCCCCGTTGCTGCCGGGCATGGTGGCGCATGCCTGTAATTCTAGTGCTTGGGAGGCTGATGCAGGAGGATTGCTGCGAGTTCAGGACCAGCTTAGACTACGTATCGAGATCCTGTCTCAAAAACAACAACAAAAGAACCCCAGTTGCCTAGCAGGATAGCCATTGCTCTAAATGGAAGCTTGCTCCCCCCATACTGAGCCACATTTGAGAATGGAATCTAAGGCGGAAACTGATGCTTGAAAAACAGTTGTGAAAGGGGGCAGACAAAGTAATATTTTATTGAATAATTCCAAGGGTGTAGGGTATAATTTGAATCCAAAGTGTATTGATTACTTTTTGGCTGCTTTTGAAGAAATGAATCTGAGTGATTCATCTCACAAGTGCTGTCAAGTAGATGAAATAGAGATGTTTATACAGCAGCCCTATGGAATCCGTAGTACAGTGTAAAGCTTAAAGAGAGCACAAATACAGATTGTTGTAAAGGTGCTCCTTTTTAAAAAGTACCCAAATCTCACCATTTCTATCCACAATAACATTATAGTTTCTGTATAAATACATTTCTCTATATCCTTTTAATCTTAGATAGTAATAAATACAGGTCAGAAGTGGTTTGAAACTGAATCTTCAAATGTTATTTCCTTAAGGTTATTTTCATGTTTGCTAAAAAAATGTCAGATTCAGAACAAATCCAAAGTTTAGTCTTTTAAGTCTTGTGTGTTTCTTGTTTGCCAAAAAAAGTACCTAATTTCTTCAAATTATGCTTCATCCAGTTGGAGCTGCTGACTGAAGGTCATTACTGGAAAATTGAGGGTGGATTTTAGGAGCTGCTCGGTGTCTTCCAGACGTGTCATTCTTTTTTTTTTTTTTTGGTACCGGGGATCGAACTCAGGACCTTGTGCTTGCAAGCCAGGCGCTGGAACCACCGAGCTAAATCACCGGCCCTCAAGACGTGTCATTCTTATGTAGCCTGGGAGATGACCAGGCTCCACCCCATGGACAAGGGATATAGACAGGGGCAGCATCCCTTACCCAGAAAGGGCATCCATGAGGGCTTCCTCCAAGGTGAACCTCTCTGCCCGTGGGTATAGTGACACCCGGCACAAAAGAGGCCGCAGCAGGTGAGGTTTGCAGGCGAGCAGGTGGTCATCTCACTGAGACGACACAAAAAAAACATCAGATTCCTTCCTCTGGGCTCTGGATCCATGTCGCATTTATGCTCCCTACAGTATAGAGTAAGGAAGAAGTTTATTGGATTTTTAAAGAAATCTTAAATGATTCAATATTATAAAAGTAGAAACTGCTCAGATAAGAGAAGCACTTGATATTGCTGGTGTTAGGAGTAGGGGAAAGTACTGCACTCTGGAGCGCTGGAGATGCCCCAGACTGTGCACTATACCTGTTAGAGATGAGGGCACTGCGGTGAAATTGCACGATGCGTTCTGCAGTGCTGGATGCAGCAAAGGACAGCAACGCTCACAGGGCTTTGCTCATGTGATAGCCTCCCAATTACCACTGACTGACTGGGTAAGGAGCAGCGCTAGAGAAGCAACCCACAGCCTTTGCACTGAGCTCCAGCCCCAGCCCTTTTCATTTTGAGACCAGGTGCTGGTCTTGCTCAGGTGCCCAGGCTGGGCTCAAACTAGCGATCCTCCTGCCTCCAACTCCAAGAGTGCTGGGATTACAGGCGTGTGCCACCACATCCAGCTCTAACTTGTTAAAAATAGCAAGATGCTGCCTAGAGTCCTTAGCAAGGAAGGAAAGGATTTTTCTGAAAAAAGAAATTAAGTAGTGGCATCTCATTTTAAAAAAAACTAACCTAGCCGGGGATTTAGCTCAATGGCACCACCTGCCTCGGAAGCACAAGATCCGGAGTTGATCCTAGGAACCAGAAAAAAAAAAGTAGTCAAAAAAAACCAAACTAACCTTATGCTATTCTTGGGCACACTTTTCCCCCTATTTCTTATGCATCTTCTCTGGCCCCCTCTTTCTTATCTCCAGAGGGGACTTGGAGGGAAGTTTGGTAGGATTGGGAAGATGCAGCCACCTTTCAGGTAGAAGTGGCTTTAGCTGCACACTACAGATAGAAGGATGAGAGCTACACACCTTTCAGATGCAATCTAGGAGCCTTTCCAGTGCAGCAATCTGAGCCAGAGTAGAGCCCAATGTTCCACCTGATCTCTCTGCATTCCTGCCCTGTAATACTTGGGTTTCAGGTCTTCCATCCTGCTTCTTTGGGCAGTGAAAACAGAATGTGCCTGAGTGACCGGAAATATGTTTAGAATACATATGAATACTTAGGGAGAAGCCTCCTAAACGCCTTCCCAGCAGGTCTGGGGAGAAGAAAGAGCCAAGACTCTTGCTTACCCACAGTCCCACCGTCTTGGATTGAGTGCCATACATTCTGACTGTGGTGGAGGCAAGGTGGCCAAAGACAGCAGCGCTGTGTCTCCTGTATCTTCGTCTCCTGTACCCCAGGGTGGAGGGCAGCCTGTGGGGATACCCGCCTAGGATGCAGTGTAGTCAGAAAAGGCCTCAAGATCAGTCATGGCCCATCTTTTGTCAGTAATGGAAGTTTTTTTCTCTCTCTCCTGTAGGGGGTGACAGGTGCTTTGACAGTTTTGATGAAAGACGCAATAAAACCAAATCTGATGCAGACCCTTGAAGTAAGTGACTTTTCTTTTGATAGTAATTGTTTCTAGCATTTGCCTTAATTTGCTTGCCTCTGTGACCACAGAACATGAGCATGGCTGGCCATGGAACATCAGAATAACTTCTTTGTCATCTGGAAAAAAAAAAAGAAGTTAAAAGTGAATGTGTAGATTCTTGGATATGATTCAAATCTTGGCTTAATTAACCAGAGTAGAAACTTAGAAAGTAAATATCTGTCTAATATTCCAACAGATTGTGTGACCATGTTTATGTGGCATTTTCTGTTTTGCATTTTTTCATTTGCTTAATTCCTCAGTCATTAGGGTTTGGATTTTGTGGTTTGTTTGGTTTTTCCCAACCAAAATACAGTAAATGCCAATGAGTGTTCTCTAGGAAAGTATGCTGTACTGCACTTTTAGGAGCATATGATTTTTGTATTTTTGTATAAAAACGTTGTACTGAAATCTTGGTCCTGTTTTTATGGAACTGAAGTTTTTCCATCAATACACCTCTATTTTGATCTCGTTTTCTAGTCCCTGATCATAATCAATGGATTTAGAAACTGGATTTGGGCCCAAACAAGAAGGCAGGTTCTGGGTCCTGCTGAGCAAAGAACAACACGTGGAGGGACAGGGTCAAGTAGGGGAGATGACTTTGTCCTGGAAAGTGTTTCCACAGCATCTGGGGCGGGGGCGGGGGGGGGGTCCCTTGTTTGTAGCATTTGCCAGTTGCCAGGGTGTAAATCTTCGTATGGTGGCCCGTTTCTGACTCCCTTCCAGATGTCACCAAACGTGGAGTTGGGAGAATTTTTGCACCATCATTGGTATGAATGGGCTGTTTCTCCTCAAGCTGCAGTGAGAGAGAAAGTGAAGGTGACCGGAGGCCAAGTTTGCTGGGGACACAACAGACACACAGGTGGAATGTCTGTCCATTTATTCAGCAGACAGAAGGGCGAGTTTGAGCGGACACTGCCATTACAGCGGTGTCATGGCCTTACTTAATACAACAACCTCAATTTCCCCCATGTAAAATGGAGATCGTGATGACAGCTAATTCACTACAGTTATTTTGAAGATTAAATATTTATCATATGATATGGACCAGTTAGAGGAGGAGGTACAGAGGACACAGCAAGGAACAATACAAAGTCCCAACCCTTAGGGGCCTCCATCCTGGTGGAGGAGGCAGACACCAGACAAATAGTTATACAGTTTGTTAGTTGGTAGAAGGGCTGAGGAGGAAAAATGAGAGGCAGTGAGGGAACAGGGTGTCATGGGTGTGCATCTGAGTTTAAGGCATTTTAAAAAATGTTTTCTACAGAGCATTTGAAAGGTTTCTCTGGATGGCAGTAAGAAATTACTTATTTAGAAAGATGGATCTGTAGATACCGAACACATTATCCATATCCGTATCCTTAAACCAGTACATCGGAGTGTTGTAGTTCAACTGTATTTCCACCTACAGCACTGTGACCTTGTTGGATAAAATGTGCTCCCTGAGGATTTTCAGAGGAAAAGTAAATAGAAAACTCACATTGTGGCTTTGAGAAACTGTCTTTTTTATTCTCAGAAATGATTTTTCTTTCATAACTTTCTTCCTGCTTTTGTTCAGCTTGCTCTTTGTTGAGCCATGTTCAGCTAACAGCTCGTCACAATTTGTGGGCATTTTCTGTGGCCCCTGTGCCTCCCTGCCCTTCCTCATGACAGCAAAGGCACAGCGACGCAGCCTGTATTTTCACAGATGGAGCAAAGCCTTTGTGTGCAGACTCCAAAGGCCCTGGCTGAGCTCCGAAAAAGCCTGACCATTTCAATGCAGGAGAAGAAATTCTTCTTAGATCAGGCTAAAATCTATTGTCATTAATAAATGACAGTAGGGCCAGGGATTTAGCTCAGTGATTCCAGCGCCTGCCTCACAAGCGCAAGGTCCCGAGTTAGATCCCCAGTACCCCCCAAAAAATAAATGACAATAAATGGGGTCAGGGATATAGCTCAGTGTTGCTCCACCTGCCTGGCAACCTCAAGGTCCTGAGTTCAATGCCCAGTACCAAAAAAATAAATAAATAAAAGGAAATGTGTAGAAATGTCATTAAAATTAATATACTGAGATTATGTTTAAATAATTAAAATCTAAAGTTTTTCATCATTTCCCTATATTGATTTCTGGTTTTTTATTAATAAGAATTACTGTGATAGTTTACTATGAGTGAAATTTTTCTTTACTTTTGTTATCTTAATGATTAACAGATTTCTAACATGTATGATAGTTAAACAAGGTGGAAAAAATAAAAATGGCCTAAATTTGATCTTAGTATGCCATGATTCCTATAATTGATTTGTATGCTTGATTGCAATTTTACTTGAACTAATTTCTTAATTGGGGGAAAAAAGGTAAAGAAGCCTCTTAGATGACATCAGAGTCTAATTCCATTCTTTTAAAAAATATAATGCAAAGCGGTATGAAATAAGATAGTTTATTTAGTGGCCACTGAGTCAGCTAACAGTAGCTAATCAAAATTATAATAGGAAATGACTATTATAAATTTAGTCTCTGGTTAAGCATTAAATAGACTAGAACTGTATTAAGAATTTGGAGCGCCAGGGCCAGGGATGTAGCTCAGTGGCACTGTGCCTGCCTGGCAAGCAAAAGGTCCTGAGTTTGACTCCTGGTACAGGGGGGTAGATTTTGGAGTGTGGCATGGTGGTGCACGCCTGTAATTCCAGCACTTTGGGAGCTTGAGGCAGGAGGGTCATAAATTTCAGCCCAGCTTGGGAAACTTAGTGACTTTAGTGAGACCCTATCTCAAAATAAAAAGGACTGGGGGGGCCAGGGATTTAGCTCAGTGGTTCCGCCACCTGGCTCACAAGCACAAGGTCCCGAGTTTGATCCCCGGAACCAAAAAACAGGACTAGGGATATATAGTTCAGTGTGAAATCCCTTGACTCAGTCTCCAATACCACTCCCCCCAAAATAAGTGAATCAGTGTTTAACTTTTTTTTCTTTTTTTGTGCTAGGGATCGAACTTGGGACCTTGTGCTTGCGAGGCAGGTGGTGGAACCACTGAGCTAAATCCCTGGCCCTGTTTAACTCTTTTTGAGAGATTTTGAACATTGAATTTTTTTATGTGCATTGTATTTGCATGTAAATAAAAGCAGAATGACTTGGTTGAGTCTGAAAAATACCCAACAATATGCTCCACTTTGTTTGCTCCAAATTGGTCTTGAGTCCCGTTTTTCTACCTATCTTTTGGAGTTTTAATTTGGCCTTCTGCTTCTCTAGGGGACGCCTGTCTTTGTGCATGCTGGCCCCTTTGCTAACATCGCTCACGGCAACTCTTCAGTGTTAGCTGATAAAATTGCCCTAAAACTGGTTGGTGAAGAAGGATTTGTAGGTAAGTGATTGCTTGTAAGCTTAGTTGTAGAGTATTGATGCTATCTGAAGGGCAATGACTGCCCTAGAGTACTGACATGAAATACGTTCTTACACTTGATCTTAGCCAAAAGGCCAAGAAGCAATGAAATACGTTCTTTTAGACCCACCTTTCGTAGATGGTCTCAGTATTTAGTAAAAAGCCCTAAGGTCTGGTCTATTCTAGGAAAACTGTTTCTTGGTTGAGCTGTGGTTTCTGGGGTCAAGTACCTTTGGATTTGAATATAACCTCTAACATTTGTAAATTGAGTGACCTTGGACACATTGGACCTCAGTTTTCTCTTCTATAAAATGGTAAAATAGGACTATGATGGAAACGAAATGAAGTTATTTAGTCATCCAGCAAGTGGAGAGTTAGCCAACATGAAGTGTGTTGCTCAGAGCTGGGGATGCAGGGACAAGGGAAGTAGGCCTGGGCCCTGCCCTGTGGAGCATGCTGTCTAGTGGTACAAGCTGAAAGGGAAGTGCGCTCATTAACTGCACATCATTATTAGTGGAATGGTAGTACTGCTAATAAGCTGAGTTCCTGCTTTCTCTTGTTGGGGTCCTGGTATGTTTTTGTGATCTGATGGCAAGAAGTTTCCTAGCCATTACCCTTGGAAGTTTTTACTCGGTTGGACTGTAGACTCTTTGCTGCTGTCAGCAAGGGGCACTTGCTGTAGAGTTGGCTCAGGTAGTGCCAGCCCCAATCTCACCCATGACAGGAAGGCTGTGGGAGACAAAAATCACAGATTCATGGAAGAGCACCTTCATTTGACATATAGGGGGTTACATGGGTGGGCTTTCTCATGGCAGCACGTAATTCCCATCCACACATCCATGCCTGTCATCATGTGTAGCAATTGCTCTATTTACACTCATCATGAGCCTTGTATCAAACCCAAAAATGAGTTATTTTACTAGAAAAAAAAAGCTACTGGACAAAAGCCCCTCGCTTTGTATTTTCATGCTCCAACTCATAAAGTTCATTCAGGGTTATTGAAACTATTTTGAGAATTCCTTATAGACACGAAGTCAGGATCAAGTGAGGATTTATGTAATGATCCCATCCCTCAAAGGTCTGTATAATACAGTCATATGCACTTTCCTGCTTCGTTACCAAATGCACTGTAAGAGTGGCTAGACATGCTGTCTAAATGGATTTGCTCAATTGATCATTCCTAATTGTAGAGCTAATGGACAAGGAGGCGGGAGAAAGGCAGGCATTGAAAAGTTGGGCGCATAAGTGAAGTGGTGGTTCTAATACATCAACTCTGCAAAGAAAAGAGCTTCTAGAAAAAGCACTCTATTTTCTGCTGACCGAGCTCTCTGCTGCCGTACCAGTCCTTACTTCATCAAATGAATATTTATAGAATATTATCATGGCATATTAACTTTAAAGGTATATGTTGATGATGAATGCAAAACGTGCTAGCTCTTTGTATGACCTTGGATAAGCCATCAGCCTCTGGGTGTGTCCTTTGTCGACATTCTCATGGGACAAGAAGGACCTGGGCCAGTCGAGAGGTGGATATGGATGGTAGCCATGGACTCAGAGTTAGAAGCTGTGGGGTCAGATTCCCCAGTGGTCTGAAGCAAGTCACTCAACTTTCCCAGGGCTTGGTTTCTTCTTTTGAGGAAAGGAGAACACCTCTGCTATAGTGTTCTAGCAAGTAGGACCCAGGGAGCGTGTGATCTGTAAAACAGGGAGCTATGCAAGTGTCAGCAATGGTGCAAATTATTTTCTAACGCTTTCTGTCTAAGCCGGTCAGTGGGGAAGATCTTGATCCCAATGAACTTGTCCGTTGTCGGAGGGCTTAGAAGGCAAGCTCTAGTGTCAGAGTACCTAGTCCAACTCCTTTTCAGTTATACAACTGTAGCCAACTGTGCCTCAGTTTCCCTATCTGTAAATGGGGCTTTGAATAAGTTTGAAAGGAGGAAATGAGACCACGTATGTCTAGCCCTGCTGTAGCACAAGGTAATTCTCAGCTACTCCTCACTGTGACCGTCCTCCCATTACTGCTACATGACTAATAAAAGTTACATTTTCTTTTTTTTTGTTGAGTTTATTTGGGGGATGGTTTTTTTGGGGGGGGTGTTTTTAATTGTTGTAAAATATACACCACATCAATTTTACTTTCTTAAGCATTTTTAAATATATGATTCAGCAGTGAAGTTCATTCTCATTGTTGAACAACTCATCTCCAGTCTCTTTTCATCTTGCAGAAACTGGAATCTGTGCCCATCAGACATGCCCAAGGCGTCTCCCTGGCATCCAGCATTTAACTTTCTGTCACTGTGCACTTGACTCCCCCTGGTACCCCATGTATGGGAAATTGTGTTGTCTCTCCTTCTGTGACTGGCTTATTTCACTTCACTTAGCAGAATGCCCTCAAGGTTCATGCATGTTGTGTGTCAGAATTTTGTTTTTAAGGCAGAATAATAATCCACTATGTATAAACCATGCTTCTTCCGCCATTGTATCCACCAATGGACCCTAGAGTTGCTTCTTGGATTTTTAGAATGACATTGCGATGAACATGGGTGTACAGATATCTTTTCATATTACTTTTCATGTCAACTTTTCATGTTGTGTATAAATATGTGACTTACATAAACATGTGCAGACTGCAGGGGTCCAGCCCTGCAGTGCTGAACTCACAGGGATGTTATATTGGCACTGTGCCATTAGCACAGGGGCAGCAAAGCTGCATGGAGAACAGCTGGTAATAGGCAAGTCAGGAGGGACCACTGTCCCCAAGTGCCTGGTCAGGCCTGGTGTTGGGGGCCTGGATTCTTCTCAGCCCTTCCGTGAAATTTGTGGTAGTTTTTTTCAGCCAATATCTAGTACATCTAAAAACCAATTATTCCTCTTGTCACTTTCAGTAGGAGAATGTGCCATTTTAATAATGCATCCAGTTTTATAAAAAATAATTAAAAATTCCAAATTCCATTGAGATTTCAGCTCCTCCCACCCCCCGTCTTGCTCATGGCTGCCGCTGGCCCCTCCAGAGCTGGAGCTCTGGCATCGATGTACCCATCTATCCTGTTCTGGCTGAGGCCCACAGTCAGGCAGTTCCCCGTTAGATGGTCCTACCACTGCCCCCACTCCTGCGGTTTGAGCACTCACACACCCTGGACCTTGGCCGGCAGACACACCGAGCCATTCCAGGCAGTCTTTGAAGGCTCACTAGACAGAGAAAATAGGGAGCAGCTCTGCCTCCTTCTACTGAATGGCAGGAGGGGAGCTGGATTTGCTTCAATTCACTGCATAATTTTCTTTGAAGAAATCCTTTTTTCAGGTTCTAACCTTGGCAACCCTTTGAAACCTTGAGGTGACTGTTCGGCTAAAAGATTCAAATCTGTTTTCAGACAGCTTTGCAAATCCTACTAGGTCATCCAGCATTATCCTTCAGCACCTGAGCAACTGACACCATTTGGAGGCCTGAATAAAATCAAGACTAAAAAAGCCTCATATTTAACATCTACAGAAGTTAAACACTGTAGGTGTATGGTTTATCTGAAGTCTCAGGAGGAATGCATGTCCCTAGAAGCACTACTGTTTGTAGGAGGCTGTCTTTATGACCTCGTGGTAGAGAAAATCTCTTCAGATAGACAAAGTCCAAACCCAAGAAAGATCGATATTTTGGGTTATATTAAAAAAAATAATGTGTGCGTGGTGAACAATACCATATATTAAAAGGCAAGTAACAGATTGAGAAAATATTTGCAAGGATAATAGGCAAATGCTTTTTTTTTAGAATAGTACATAAAACACCAACAACTACAAATAGGTAAGAAAAAGATGAATAATCCAATAGAAAAACAGTCAAGAGATTTGGAAAGGCAGTCTGGAAGAATTTCTGGGTAAAACTGAAGATGAGCAAATTATCTAACACTTTGATTTCTAGGTAGACGAGAAAGTACATTTACACTGTCTGAAATATTTCGGTACACACTTGTTAGTCTTGTGCTGTGTGTCAAGTGTTATAAACTAGAAGCTGGGAATCAAAGAGGAATGAGGCACATTTCTTATCCTCCCGTAAATGAGAACATGCGAGAGAGACAAATGGATAGACAAGCTCTCCGTAAGTACAGCCCACTTAGGAGATTGAGTATTATATCGATTAACAAAGAACCATAAGAGATGATGGGCACCCCTTAGATAGAAGTTTCCACATATTATTGGTTTCTCTAAGGTACATGAAGTCTGTTTTTAGTTTTATTCAAACACATGCAAGGAAGAAATTATCTTGTCTACTCTAATTATTCCAAGATAATGGAATCAATAGTCCATTTTAACTATAAACAGAGTGGTGTTTATTTAATTAACTGCATGAATTTGTCAGACAAAAGCAAAACACTGATTTTTGAGAATTTCCGGAAATGTGCTGTGGTCACTGTAATGGCTATTTTTCGGGAGTCATGAGTCCCCACGGGAGTCCACCCAGCCTCCATCTACTGCTATAGAGGCATCAAACCCCAAGCATGTGTCATTAAAAAAGAGAAAGAAAGAAGAGAGAAAAACAACATTAAGTTGCTGGTTTTATTGTTACTGTCTCATACTTAATTATTTATAAAAATTTGAACTCAGTACTTGAACTTGGAGTTTTAAATTTTATTTTATTTTACTTTATTTTTCATTTTGCCCTGATGGAGCTAGAATCCAGAGCCTTTGATCATGCTAAGCAAGTGCTCTACCACTGAGTTACACCCCAGCCCCTTGAACTTTGGATTTAAAAAATTGGTTTCCTCCTTTCTTCGTTGGTTTAGATTCCAGTTTTTGGAAGAAGATTTTGCCTTTGCAGGGGAGTGTACACTTGTACGTCCTTATAGCCACAGGTCCTGAAGTGAGGGTCACAGTCACTGGGGGAACTAGACTTAGTGGATCCGTAATTACAGATTTGTTTGTAGCCTCTTCTTTTATTAGGTGACAGGCTCACAGTTCTCCTTAGATTCTCAAAGTGACCATGATTCAAGAGA